CTCCAGGGGCTTCTCTTCGTCGTCCTCTTCCTCCTCGTCCCTCTCCTCCTCGTGCTTCTCCTCCTGGTGCTTCGCCTCCTCGTCCTTCGCCTCCGCGTGCTTCTCCTCCTGGTGCTTCTCCTCGTCGTCCCTCTCGGCTTCTCGTCCTCGTGCTGCTCCTCCTCGTCCCTCGCCTCCTCGTGCTTCGCCTCCTCGTGCTTCTCGTCCTCGTGCTTCTCCTCCTCGTGCGTTTCCTCCTCGTCCTCCTCCTCTCCGCCCCTCCCTCCCAGGGCAAAACTAACAAAACTTGATCTGATCTCGAATCTGCTCTCCCGCGCGTCCCCCTGCCTCCGCCGCATCCCTCGCCTTCTCCCTCGTATCTCGCCTATTCGTCCAACTCCTTGGCCTTCTCTCCAAGACTCCAACGTATTGGAAAAAACAGGCGAAGATTTTGCCCGTGTTTGGCCTCTCGGGGCCCTTGTCGGGCTTTGGGACCGTCAAACAACACATTAGGATGAAGAGCTTATCATGGAGAGAAGGGCTGGGACTTTCCGGAACCGCGCATGGAAAAACCATCACAGGATCTCTAGGTCGTCGTACATTGGATGGGTCGTTGGTCTTCTTTCCCCCCCTTCCTCCAGCCCCCATGGACGACTGGCTGACCCTCCGATCGGACACCCCACCAGCGCGCTTCGCTTCTCACGTGATCCTCCTCCTCGTCCTCTCCTCCATCAAACCCTCTTCGCCCTCCTCGTCACCCTCGTCCTCCCCGTCTCCTCCTCGTCCTCGTCCTCCTCGTCCTCCTCGTCCTCCTCGTCCTCCTCGTTCCCTCTCGCCCCCCCTCCCCCTCGTCCTCCTCGTCCTCCCCGCCTGCCTGTGGACGGCTGCGGGCCCCGCGCCCCAGGGGCTCGTTCTGCAAGTCGAGGCGCCTGCGAGCCCCCCTAACAAAACCCGCCTCGGCGGGCGCCCGACCCGACTGCCTTTTTGGGCTGCCGCTCGCTCCTCCTCGTTCCCCTCCGTCGAGCTCCCTCCCTCGTCCTCCTTCGGCTCCTCCCCCTGCTCCTCCTCCTCCTCCTCCTCCTCCTCCTCCTCCTCCTCCTCCTCCCTCCTCCTCCTCCTCCTCCTCCCCCGCCGCCGTTCCTTCTCCTTCTCCTGCGTCTCCTTCTCCCCCTCCTCCCGGCTCCTCCCTCCTCTTCCTCTTTCTCCGTCTCCTCCTCTTCCCCCTTCTCCCCCCCCCCTCGCCCCTGGTCGGAGACAGCCTGGTCGGAGACTACGTCCTCGACAGCCTGGTCGGAGACCTGGTTGTCGTGGACGAGGATGCGGACGGTGCGTAGGCCCCTGGCTGCGCCTGCTGGCACTAACCGTTGGGGAGGTGCTCGGGCTCCTTTCCCTCGGTCAGGCCTGCGCCCGAGCCGCCTAGTTGTGCTTGTGCACGCTTGGCGCTGCACCTGATCAAAACCCCCCCTCCTCCCCGCCCCCCCCCCCTCCCATCATCTCCTCCTCTACCTTGGGGGGCGGCGGTGCGGCCGAGCGTGGAGGGCTCATGGGAGGGGGGGGCGGGGGGAGTCGGCCTAGGCCGCGCGTACTTTTCCACGGCCCGCGGCAGCTTTTCGGAGGGAGGCGAAAAAAGCCAACAACACCAGGGGGGGGCCCACCTCCAGCGAGGAGGCCCACGAGGCCTCCCCGAGCTGGAGGCTGGGGATGTCTCGAGCTAGCGGGGGGGGGGGACTCCACCGCCAGGGAGGAGATCCCCCTCCTTGCCTCCTCGCACCTCCTCTCGCCCCGGGTGGTGCTGGTGTCGCCTCTCCTCGCTCCTATAAGCTTCTGGGGGCGGGGAGCGCAGGAGCCCCCGGAGTGAGTACGGTCAAGGCGCTGGAAGAATGAGCCCCCTGGACTCAAGGAGGGGCTCTGGATCCCGGATAGCTCTCTGAGAGCTGAGAGGGCTTCAGATTGAGAAGCCAGAGCCGCAGGGTACCCCATGCGCCTCAATACACGCCCCCCCCCCCCCCCCCCCCACCCACTAAAGATCCGGCCCCCCCCTGCTGAGGTTGCTTCATGATCCGGCCCCCCCTCCAAGGGAGGCGCATCAGTATTCCGGCCCCCCCTCCAAGGGCCGCTTATCAAGGCACATGGAGCAGCGCCGGAGGTGTTTCCGGCTTCCGTGAAAAGTCCCTAGCGCGGCTTGTCCGAGCCGGCAGCGTGTTCCGGCAGGCCTTTTCTAAGCGTTTCTTTTATATGCGTGCCCAGAGGCTCTCCGGCGGGAAGGTCCTTCGGAAGCTCTCTCCAGGTCCGTACAGGTTTTTTTCGACAGGCCTTTTCCACGCCCTTGGGGCGCCCTTTCTATCCAGGTTTTGGATCCCAGAAGTTCTCGGAACGCTCCTCAGACCTGATTGTGCCGGGAGGCCTATCCGATGTTGCGTGTTGCGGCTCGCCGTGGCCAGGGCAGCTCCTTGGTGCCTGGGTCAACGTCCCTTGGGGTAGCACCATGGCTGTATTCTTCCTCTTGTCGTTTTTGCCCTCCCACCCAACTCTCCCCTGTCTTCCTTAGCATCCTTATCAGCTTGTTTTACGAGGCTCCTCCTTGCAGCGTCGCTTTGGGGCTTCTTGGGGCCACCTTGCCTCCAACCACAGTCTCCTTCAACGGGGAGGCGCTACATGGTGTTACGCTATGCCCCCCCCCTCCCCCCCTCTACGACGCCCGTTACGGCCACGAATAAGAGGAGGAGCATATCGGAGCAGATCGGAGAGCGCACCCAGGTGCGACCACAACCGCAGGAGCGAGCCTCACGGCGATCAGGTAGAAGATGGAGGCGCTCGCAGGAGCGCGGATTGGCAACGGCACCTCACGCAAGCACAGAACCGCCGACCATGAAACGAAAGTCGGTCCGACGAGCCGGAGTCGAAGCCGCCCTGTGACGGGTCCAGCTCGTCGGCTGCTGCCTCAGAGCTGCCGCACGCGGGGCTCGCCGAGCAAGAGCTCCAACCTCGCCCCCTGCAGCATCGCTCGGGCGCCTGCCGCACGCTGCGAGGAAGGTGAGGATCTCCCGCAAGCGCCCGAGGGTCGCTCTCCTCCGCCTCCCCGTCGGGGGCGTCGTTCGCGGCGGCGACGCCGAGGCTGGGGAGGCAGGGAGAGGCGTCGCAGCGGAGGGGCGTGCGCTTGGGCAAGGGGGGCGTCGCCCACCTCTAAGGCGCGAGCCACGTCCGCCGTGGAGTCCAGGCGCACGTCGGGAGCATCAGGGTGGTGAAGAGCAGCCTGAGGAGCAGCTGCGCCCCGAGGAGGCGCTTCCGGCGCGCTGGCACCTGCGGGACTATCGTCCGTCTCCGCGTGGGGCCCGTCGTCTCCGCCGAAAGCCGCTCGCACGGTCGCCATCGCGACCGTCAGGATGATCTCTTCTTTGTCGCCGAGGGCCAGCATGCTCTTCTTGAAGCGGAGGAGCGCCCACACGAACGGCGCGACAGGGTTGGCCTGCTCAGCGTGCCCGAGCTCCCTGTGCAGCCAGCGCGGAGCATCCCCGGTCGAGCGACTGCTCCGCCACCTTCCCGTCCTCGTCCTCGGGCACGTCGCGCGCGTGGGAGCACGGGTCGTGCTTGCCCATCTGTTGCGAGTCCGAGACTTCGTGGGGACGACGGCCAACACCAGCAGCACCACGAGGAAGTACACCAGCATCTGGACGAACATCGGCGTCGTCGCCAGCGCGAGGAACACTACCAGGACGAGGAACGTCCTCGCCAGGATAGGGGGGAGGCCAGCGGCAACCTCCTGGGGTGCGCCAGCGGGGAGGGGCGAGACGTTCACGCGCTGGGCCTTCGTGTCCAGCTGCACGCCGACTGTCGGCGCAGTTCCGCACGGGGTGGGCTCAGCGCTGCCTCTGCCGAGCCTGGGGCCTGCAGAGGCCCACGCGATGCCCGCCACGGACGCGTGGGCAAATCCGCCTGGCGGGGCTCGCTGAGCGTGCCACGCGGCGTTCCGGCGGTGGCGGCGGGAGCCAGGGACAGCGCGTCCCTGGGCAAGCAGCACCAGCGCCAGCCTCGCTGCCAGCCCGCGGTCCTTCCAGGAACCAGGCTCGCCGCGAGCCTGCGCGAGGGGCTGGATGGCAGCCTCGCAGGCGGCTCGGCGCCGCTGTCTCGCCGCACGTCGGGCGGCGGTGGCGCCGAGCGCGGCGATGTCGCGCCACCTGGGCTCCGAATGCCGCCACGCTCTCGGGCCGCTCCCCGTCGCCATTCCCGTTGTGCCCAAAGCCTTAAGCCCTGCTCCCCCCCCTCAAGCCCGCCGCGTTGCCCCGTGAGTCTGGGGTCGCAGGGTGAGTCCAGGAGCGGGGGGCCCACGGAAAAGCCTGAGCCAAAATGGCTACGGACGAAAAAGAGGAGGAGGAGGAGGAGGAGGAGGAGGAGGAGGAGGAGGAGGAGGAGGAGGAGGAGCAGGAGAGGAGGCAGGAGCAGAGCAGGAACAGGAGCAGGAGCAGGAGGAGCAGGAGCAGGAGAGGAGCAGGAGGAGGAGGAGGAGGAGGAGGAGCAGGAGGAGCAGGAGGAGCAGGAGGAGCAGGAGGAGCAGGAGGAACAGGAGGAGCAGGAGGAGCAGGAGGAGCAGGAGCAGGAGCAGAGCAGGAGCAGGAGCAGGAGCAGGAGCAGGAGCAGGAACAGGAGCAGGAGCAGGAGCAGGAGCAGAATGAGGAGGAGGAGGAGGAGGAGGAGGAGGAGGAGGAGAGGAGGAGCTGGAGAATGAGGAGGGAGGAGGGAGGAGAGGTAATCCAAAAATCGACGGTCATCTTCGCAAAGCGAGCATTCGATGGGATACGGAGGGGGAGGAGGAGGAGGAGGAGGAGGAGGAGGAGGAGGAGGAGGAGGAGGAGGAGGAGGAGGAGGAGGAGGAGGAGGAGGAGGAGGAGGAGCACGAATCATTCACGCTCTACTTCTCTCCGCACTAGCCGTGTGCTAGCCCTGGCCTCGCGCTCCGCCCTGCGCCGGCCCCACCCCGCCAAGTGGCCCCGAGCGCGCGCGCGCGCGCCGCGCGAGGCGAGAAGATGCCCGGGTTGCGCAGGCCGCCCTGAAGCAATCGACTACTCGTAAGAGTGACCTTTCGCCGGAGTGAACTCTGGTGCGGGCTCATCGGGCTCCCCCCGATCGCCGAGCGCGATGCGATACAAGCGGCCCGCGCCCTCGGGTTTGGCCCCCTCGCGCCCCCAAGAGCTGCGCACCAGAGGTCACTCTTACCCAGGGTCACCCTTACGCCTAGCCGAAGCAAGCGGGTCTTGAGGAAACGGGCCCTGGAGGGTTCTCGGGGGCGGCAAAGAGGGGGGTGATGACTGGGGGGGAAGGGATATCATGGCGTGGGCCATGGTACTTCCTCCGCATTCATGGCGCGTTTCCTTATCTCATGACGTCCCTGGCCTTCCCCCCCTGGGTCGCGCACGTGCCGCCAGCCACGATTTGGGCCCCCCCCCCCCTCTTGGGCGCCCCCCTCTCGGCCGCTCCCGACTTGAGGACACGTGTCCTTGAGGTTTCTCGCTGTCGTCGGTCTCGTGGGGCTCTCCACGGGCTCTCCACGGGCTCTCCACCCACGGCTCGGAACGAAGAGCTGGTCTCCCAGAGGAGCGGCCCAGATTCCAGGGTCTATAGGACCCGTGGCTCGGCGGCTCGCGCAGGGGGCAAGGCAGAGGGAGCGGTCCTTCCCAGAAGGCCTGAGAAGCTTTCTAACTAAGCCTCCTCCGAAGACAGAGTCGACTTCTTAGAAGGCCAGAGGCCTTCTGAGAAGCCCCGCCGCCTTCTGTGAAGAAGGCCCGCCCCCATCTCACCTTCCCCGTTTCATTGGCCAAGAGCATATCCGCATGCGTGGCCTCGCGGGCGGTGGTGGCCCTGGGCCGCGACCTCGCGGATACGGGGGCGCTGTTCTAGCGGATGCCCTGCACAGAACGCATCTTTGCGACCGCGTATCCGTGGGATCGTTCCCTGGAATCGAGACCGCGAGGGCGCGGATACGGATACGGTTGGTTCGCGTCGTGTCGACCGGCGGCGACCCCGCCGCCGGCGCTCAACGTTGAACGCCGCCAGCGTCCCATAATCGGTCGACGTTGGACGATCGTACGTTTCGGAAGCGGCCGATCGTTCAAGGTTGAACGATCCGCGCGGTCTCAGGAACCAACGCCAGGGTCGACGCGACCCGAGCCTGCAGTACAGTGGGGGCCCATGCCGAGAAGCACCCCGCTCGCCTCCAGGGTGCCCTGGGTCTCTTGTGTCGCGATGTTTTTGCGATGGAAGGCGCGACGCTCCCACACCAGAAATCGATGGACGCCATGGGGTCTCAGGGGGTTGGGTGTCTCGTGGGAGGTGTCGTGTGGACTTGCCTCCACAGTACGTTCCCAGACGTGCGACGTCCTGATTTTTTCAGGACGGCGTCCCCAGAAGTCCTGACCCTGGTGGCTGGGGAAGGACGCGTTCAGGGAGCCGTCTTTGGCGTCCCCTGGCCCTCTGGGACCATTCTGGCCATGGCGACCCCCATCCGGGGGCGGGGGGCCGGTTTTTCATCCCGCGTCGCTTTTTGGGCAGCCCCAGGGCCCGGCGAGGGCCCCCATGGGGCCGAACATGGCGAAAAAAACTGGCCGTCCGGATTTTTTTTTTCACGACGCGATCCTGCCTGGGCTCCCCGCCCGTAGCCCCTCGGCGCGCCGCCGAGCTGCTCTCGGGGCCCGCCCGCTTCGCACCCTGCTCGCAAGGGGGCCCCGCGGGGCGCTGGCGGCCGCCGCGGCGCTGGCCGCGTGGAGCTCGGCCCCCGCCGCCTTCACGGGCTCGGGCGCGCCCGCGCCCAGGGGCGGGCTCGTTCAGAGGACGGCCCGCCGGGGGGGGTGCGGGCAGTACTCCTATCCATATCCAGAGCGTCGTGTAGACTTTTCGGGGAGGAGGTGCCGCAACGCCGAGGCGCACCGGATGTGGATAAAATCAAGCCTCTTGGGGCCAGATTTTTATTATCCATGTCCAGTGCGTCTACGGTTTCTGGGGAAGAGAGCCCAAGAATCCAAGACACACTGGATGTGGATATAGCTATTGCCCGCAGGGGGGGGAGGCGTTCCGTGGCACCTCGGTATCGCTTCGCCGATCTCAAGTCCCCATCCCCGCTCCCTTCGAGACCCCCACCGGCTGACCACCCCAGTTGGGGAGGCACCCTTCGAGACCCGAAGGGAACGGCCTGCATCATGTCTCCATCTAGGGGGGTACATCGGCCAGTGGGGCCCAGGCCACGCCGCTGGGGGTGGAGATCGGTTAAACGATACTCAGCACCCCGCCCTTTCTCAGCCGAAAAGGTAAACGACTACCGAACATCGGTGACCGAAGGTGTGCCCGAAGCTGTGGCCGAAGACGTCATGCGACCGAAAACGGGACCGAGCCAAACGTCTCGGTCACACCTGGGCGCAGTCGGCCATTTTCGGGCGCAGGCTTCGGTCACACCCGGGCAGAGATGCGGGCGCAGTCTCGGTTACGACGCCTCCCTGACAAAGTTTAAGTCGGGCCTGTCCCTCTACAGGCGGAAATTTCCAAAATAGTCCAAACGTAGTCTGGGGACGATGTTTCAACTATTCTTTGTCATTTTTTATTGTTTGGTTGTTTTGTGTTCTTCTCATTTTCTCGTCCAAAATCCGCCTGTAGGGGGACATGCCCGACCTAAGACAGAGCCGAGGCTACGTGAGAAGTTTGGGCAGTGCAGGTCAGAGGCAGCGGTGTGGCGGGTTCAGATTGCCTCGCGCCGTGAGAAGAAGCACGGCGGGAGGCGCTTCTGGCCATTCTCTGCCTCCGGGGGCCTCCTCACGGGGCCCATGGGACCTCCGAAAAACGACCCGGAAGGAACAAAAAGGCCGGCCACAGGGGGGAAGAAGTGCAGACTTCTCCTGGGGAGTCCACGCTGCGAAAAATCACGACGTCGGGAGTCTGGGGATGGGGGATGGGGAAAGGGCGAGGGGGCCAACGTCTGTAGGGGATAGGCTCATTTGGTAGCAACTCATGGGAGCCTGGTGTACCCTCTTTAGTCCGTCTTCGGCGTCGACTAGCATCGAGTAGAGTCTGGGAGTCGATGAGGTATGCCGATGTAGCGTCGGCTAGCGTGGATTCAGCGTCGATTTAGCGTCGATTAGCGCCGACTAGCGTCGATTCGCTTCGATTCGCAAGAGCCGGCAAGATGGTATGGAAGGCTCCCATGATTTGCCACGGAAGGCTCAGGGGGGAATGCATCGACCCCCAATCGCCAATTTATCACCGATAGAGGCCGATAGCCCCCCCCCAGGACCAGTCGGTTTCGCTATCGTGAGCCTATCGTGAACTCTTGGGCGCGTTGTATCGCCAGTTCTGGCTCGATGATTCGCTCCCTGAGCCGGTCCAACGAAAGCTTCGCAAAGAAAGCGCACCTCCACCCCCACCTTGACCCCTGGGCCTCCCCCTTTGGGGCTGGGCCAAGCAACTCCGGATCTCGACTGCGAGGTGGGGCTCGGGCCAGGCAACTTTGGGCTGTCTCGGAAGAGAGGCACCAGAGGTATACCCCCCTCTGCCCCCCTTAAAGGGGAGTGAGGCCCGGGGTGGGAGGTGCTGTTTTGCTCCCTCACAAGGGGGTCCCTACCTCCAGGGCGAGGAGGGCGGAAGTGCATGGGCGAGGAGGGGGGGCGAGGACGAGGAGGGAGGAGAGCGCCGAGGAGGGAGGACGAGGACCTCTTGGAAGTCGAGGAGGGAGGGCGAGGACCTCCTCCTGGACATCGAGGGGAGGGAGGGCGAGGACGAGGGTCGAGGAGGTGCTGGGAACGTTCTCGGGTCTCTCTCTGGGACTTCTGTGCGGGCGGGCTGGCAGGGTCCAGGGGGGGTGGGGCCGTTTCCTCGATGAGGCGGCGGCCCCCGGCTTGCTCTGGACGTTCCTCTGCCTTTTCGGTGGCGTCTGCCTGCTGTTTTGAAGTCGGGCCTGTCCCTCAACAGGAGGAAGATTCAAACGTTGCCAAAAAATGATATGGGGATGATGTTTTCGATATGTTTGACCATTTTTTTGCAGACTTGTGTTGGGTAGGTTTTTTTTTGTTCGTCCACCATCCGCCTGTAGGGAGACATGCCCGGCCCGATTGCTGTTGCCTCTCTGCGCCTCATCGGGAGGCCTCTTGTGGCCCCCTCGAAAGCCTGGCCCCTGCAGTTTTGCACCGGCGTCGCCTTCCCGGGGCGCCCTCAAGGACGGGCCTGGGACTCTCTCTCAGCAGCTTTCTTCCTCCATGACAAGAGGAACGGCTACCGCCTGGACTGGATGCTCGAGAAGAAGGACGGGACCAGCGACCTCCAGACGCAGGACGGCTACTGGGTCGGCGAGGTGGGCTTCGAGCGCTCCCAGGGCGCCCAGGGCCTCCGCTACCGCATGCGGCCGACGAGGCAGGAGTTCCTGGAGGGCAAGGATCAGGAGGGAAAGAAACACACAGACACAATTAATCGTCGACTCCCAATAACATATGGGAAAATATGGGAGGTGGGGGGGAAGACAAAAACCCTGAAACTATGGGAAAATGTGGGGGATATTTTTATTTGTGTGTATTTATTTGTGTGTCCTGGGGCCCCTTCAAAGGAGGTCGACAACCTCATGTACGCCATCGGCCCTGTCAAGTTCAGGGTCGGGGAGGCCTTCGGCGGAACGGGCAACAACGAGGCCAATCGCCAGCTGAAGAGGAAGCTCGTGGCGGAGGACCTCACCGACCCCGCGAAGATCGAGGAGAACAAGTACTGGAAAGCCCGCTACGGCTACGAGCGCTGGGACATGGGTAACATCGACCAGTCGACGGGCCTGGCCACCCAGTGGTTCCGTGGCCTGGCTGCCTGGTCTGGCCTCGACCCCAAGAAGGAGGAGCGCGGCGTGACCTGGTTCGAGGCCGACTGGGGCAAGCCGTGGCTCAAGAAGTACGTGGGCACGAAGCTCCCGGGCTGGGTGTCCGCTGCACAGGTCGGCCGTGCGCTCCTCCAGTCCACGGGCCCTTCCCCGGGCCCGTCCTGCCATGGCCAGTCCTCCATCACGGATCGGGTCCCAGATCTCCGACGGTATGATTCTTCAACCTAGACATTGCTCATTTCTTCCAAGTACTCGAAAGTTCTTTGATTTTTGTTGGGGGCCAAGATTCTTTCATTTCTAATTGTTCTATCCTATGCCTCTTCCTGGCCACTACATAGGGGGCAAGGAACAATTAGAGACAATCTTAATAATTAGAACTGAGCACGATTAGAAATGAACGACGTGTAGGCGTGTTTCGCCGAGTTCCAGCTCTGGGGCCCAGCCATGGGACACCAATCATCATGGGTACGGGGCGCAGAAGTAGCCCAGGTTGGGAGGTCAGGACTGCTGGGGCCGTGGATTGAACAAAAACCTCTGGGTGGAGGTCCCTGGTTTTCTTCTCCACATCGCACATCATGAGGTTCTTGCTTTCTGTGGACACCCCGGCAAGTCTTCACCCCCCCCCACCTCTCTCTCTGCAGCGTCAACATCAGCATCATGGCCATCGTAAGCAACCATCATCACCACCACCGCGATCCATAATCATTATTCTTATCATCATCATCTGCATCAGCAGCATCAGCATTGACATCATCAGTCGCATCAGCATCGCCACCATCAGCATCATCAGCATCGTCATCGCCATCCTCGACATCGTCATCATCATCAGCAGCAGCATCATCTTGAGCAGCAGCATCATCAGCATGAGTATCGTCAGCATCATTATTAGCATTGCCATCATCATCGTCATCATCAGCATCATCATCGTCTTCGTCATCGTCATCTCAGACGGGGGCCTCGTCTGTGAGTGAATTGCGAGAAGTCTCAGGCGGGAACTTCCTCCCTACTACACCATTACAGAAGTTCGCCACGTTTTATCGGAGCGTCAGGATGGTGCAGATTTTGTCCGTTACTTCCGCGCGAGCGGGCGGGCGAAGGCTGACTTCTGTCCCGACCGCGCCAGGCTGCCCCCTTCTCCCCACTAGAATCCTAGCGGGCGGATCCAGGGTTTCTGAATCCGGGATCTCTCCCAGTCATATAAGACGTCAGGAAAGGTCAAGCCTGTATGACCGCGAAGGGGCGGCCGCTTAGGGCACAGGCGGGTGAAAACTAGCAGACGCTCATGTGGTGAAGAAAGTTTCCAGTCATAAGATAGTATATAGCTGAACCGGGATAGGTTGCAACCCCGACGTGCAGACACACGGTTTTAGAAACCCCGTTTGGCGGGATCTTGCCCTGCCCACGCAAGATTATGACATTCCAATTCGGGACGAAATTTTTGTAACGCTGATGTATGGAGCCCGCATCCCTGTTTGTTTAATCTCAGGTCGTCCTCTGAACCTTGTAACCGTCGTCAGTTTGAGGCCCCCAAGATTTGAATATTGAGGACGTCTCTTGCGGGGGGCCTTTTCTGTGAGTGAACTTCGAGGAAGTCTCAGGCAAGACCCCCCTCCCTGCGGGGCTCTCTTTTCTTAGTTTACCTCATGGAGTCAACAGAACCTTGTAACTGTCGTCACCGTTGGCCCCCCGAGGCACGAATCTTTTTGACGTCTCAGGCGGGGGCCTCGTCTGCGTTGAACTGCGAGGATGCCCACTTCCCATGGGGCCCACACCTCATGTTTTCAACCTCAGGGGGCCATGTGAACCTTGTAGCTGTCGTCACCTTTTGGCCCCCGAGCTTTGAATTCTGAGGAAGTCTTTGGCGGGAGCCTCGTTTGCAAGTGAACTGCGAGGACGTTCAGGCGGGAGCATCCTCTTTATGGTGCCCAGGGAGGAGGAGGAGGAGGAGGAGGAGGAGGAGGAGGAAGAGGAGGAGGCGGGGGCGGAGGCGGAGCTGGCATACGAGGGATGCGGCAGAAAGGGGAAGAAGAGCACTTTCAGACAGATTGGGGAGATGAACCAGGCGGCCCTGGCGTCTGCGTGCTCGACGGCCCCCCCCCGGCCCCGAGGCGGCCCTGGGCGGAGGCCGCAGTGGAGGCAGAGGGCCCGCGGCGCGGCCGGCCCCTCCCGCGCTGCCCAGGTCGAGAAGGAGTTCGACACGGGCAAGCTGAACGGCAAGTTCCTGAGCCTGCCCAAGCCCAACGACAACGCCAAGGCGACGGGCATCGACGGCCCGGCCTCCAAGCTCAAGTGAGGGGGCCGTGCTCCCTGACTTCTCGGGTGTTGCCTGGGGTGGCCTGGGCCCAGGGCGTCCCCCAGATATCAGCCTCGCGCCTCCCCGCGGCGCACCCCTCGACAGGCCCAGGGGGGGGGGGCCAGGCTGGCGCGCGAAGCTGGGCACACCTCATGAATCTTAGCGGGCGAAGAACGGTATGAAAACTTGTCCGTCGCCGGGGGGGCCTGCCCCAGGGCGGCTGGAAAGGTTACACCTTGACGTGCCACCGTAAGGGTATACACTTTACAGCGCCCTGGGACAGGCGCCCCCGACAGCGAACAGTGTATGTCATACCGCTCCTCGCCCGTTAAGAGTCAGGAGCGCCCTTCTTGAGGAAGCGCAGACATGGATCAACCAAGGCGCGTGGATTAGCGACACGTCGTGCCTCCGCACGGGGTCGGCGCGATCCGCCGCCAAAGCAGGCGGCCCTGGCCTCCTGTTTTTTTTGGGGGAGGCCCTCGCCGATCCGCGGACCCGGCGCGCCAGCGCGCCGGATATCCACGGATCCGTATAGTCCGTGTCGTGTCAGCGCGTGCCCTGCTGATGGGTCAGGATCGAGGAAGACAAAGCACCATAAGCATAAACTGAGGGCGCTCCGCGCTGATTTCTTGGATCCGCGCTGGGCCCCCCCCCCGGCGGCGCCTCCGGCGCCGCCCCATGGCGCGCTCCGCGCGCCAGGGAGAGGAGGCCAGCGCAGATCCAGGCAAGCCGCGCGGAGCGCCAAAGGTTGAAATGTTGCGCCGTGCTTTCTTGTTCTACAGGAGCACCTCTGGCAACCCTCGGCCCTTGGGCGCGGGCAGCCTGGGTGAACGTGCCCAGCGCGAGTGGCCTTCGCCGCGAGGCGGCTCCGCCGCTCCGCCTGCAGCTTCGGATGGTTTTTTTGTTCAGCTTGCCGTCGACGTTAGCGCGCGAGCCCGGCGGATCAGGCTGGGACGGCGGGCTCATCCTCGCTTCCGCCATGAAGGAGGGGGTCCTGAGTTGGCGGCGCCCACAAGGGGGCTAATTAGCGCGAGGGGCGGTGGGCTTCTGAGGAGGCGGCGGGCGTCGACGAGCGCAGTGGGGCTCCGAAGATGCCCGGCCGATGTCTAGGACGCCTTCCTATAGAAGGATTCGAGGCTTGATGAGAAGGCCCATGCCTTCCAAGAAGAGCCCCCGCCCTCTTGCAGAAGGCCGCCCCCCTCGCAAGACCACCCGGTGGGCGCCGCCAGCCGAGGAAAACGGGCCATGGAGTTTTCTGTTGGCTGCCGCCGGGGCCCCGGGGCCCTCCCCCAGGCCTGCTGGGCCGTCAGGGGTGCGGCGACGCGTGTAGGAGTGACCTTTCGCCGGAGAGATCGTTGGCGCGGGCGCACCTGGGGCCCCCCGATCGCGGAAGTCGATGCGATCGCAGCGGCGTTTGCGCTTGGGTTTGCCCGCCCCCCCACCCCCCCGCGCCCACCGCAAGCGGCTCACCAAAGGTCAGTCTTACATTCGGACCGAGGTATCAGATCGAGGTCGTTTCGGGGAGGGTGCCCTATGGTTCTTCCCGTCTGTTGGATGTTCTTGAGCGTCCTGGGGAGGGTACCCTTGGACGTTCTGCTTGTGTTGGTCGACGGAGGGTCTCATGTTCTTGAAGGAGGTTCTTCTGGCCCAAGTCCGACTGCGTCTAGGGTTACTCATACGTGTAGCCGAGAGGTCTGCCCTGGGTCGGCCCAGAGTTGTTTGCTCGGCTGCTCACGGGCCCAGGGGCCCCTCTCTCTCTCTCTCTCTCTCTCTCCACACATATATATGTGTAGATGTGTATATGTGTGTATATATATAGGTATATGTATATATGTATATATACATATATATATATGTATATACAGATTCTCCTCTTCCTATATTTCTATGTGCCCGGGCGGGGGGAAAACCCGTCCCCCCCCAAAAAAAAACAGACTCCCAGGATCTGTGGCTTTGGAAACCTCCGGACGGGCCTCGAAGCGGCCCCCTGGGCCTCGCAGGGCGTTTTGACAAGCCTTCGCAGCACACCTGGGGCGATCAGGGGGGTCATCGGAGACGTCCCAGAGCCCCCCAAGACAGCACAAGAGCGCTCCAAGAGTGACCGACGTGACCTCAAGATGGGCCAAGAGGCGTCCAGGACGGCCCCAAAGAGGCCTCCAATAGCACCCCCAAGAAGGCCCCAAGAGGCACAAATCATTAATTGTCTGTTGGTTTTCGGTGAATTTGGGGGTTATCCTCTTTTCGGCTTCCCGACGCTCCAAGACGGCGGTCTTCTCGGCGTCCGAAGCCGCCTGGGAGGCTCCAAAATCGCCCCACAACCATCCGAAAGGGCTGGAAGAAAAGGAATGATGAGAGAGGAGGGGAAGGGGAGAAGGTTGGCTGGGGGGATCAGGTAGAGGAGGACTTCCTGGACGGCAGGGAGGCTCAAGAAAACGGGAGGCCCCGCGCTGCCCTGCTGGGAGGCCCCCCCTGCCCACGTCCTGGGCGCACCCCATTCCCCCCCCCCCGTCTCGGGGGACAAACAGTAGCATGAACAAGAGAACTTGCGGGCGGATACCCGCGTGGGCTTTCCGGATCGGCGCCGCCCCCCCCCCCCCCTGGGGCGCGCGGTGCGCGCCAGGAGCGGCGCCTGAGGCGCCGCCAGGGGGCCCCAGCGCCGATTCGAGAAATCCGCGAGGATCTCCGAATTGTTATGGTTTTGTGTCACGGCTTGCTCCCCAGAAGAATCCGCCCCCCCTCATCTTCTTCCATCACTCCTCCAGCCTGCGGTGTTCGTCCAGGTGCACGCGCCGTCGTCGCACCCTCGTCGGCAGCCTCTGCCACCCCGGGACTCTCGCAGCGGCTGCAGCCATTGCGTGCGTGCCTCGTCACTCTCCTTCACTCTCATCCGCCTGCTCCTCATGCTCCTCCTCCTTCTCCTCCTCCTCCTCCTGCTCCTCCCCCTCCTCCTCCTCCCCATCCCTCTCTTGTTTTCCTCATATTATTATTCCTGGTTCTCGTCCTCCTCCTCCTCCTCCTCCTCCTCCTCATCCTCCTCTTCCTCCTCCTGCTCCTCATCTTCATCCGCATCCTTCAAGCCTAGGGCCCAAAGAGACTTTCAGAGACCTCCCAAGCTTGGGTAGAAATTCAGGGGAGAGAAGACTTCCAGAACAGAGGGGGATGCAATGCTGGCGGTCTTTGAACCTCCTGGGCTCTTCTATGCACTATCCCCTCCTGCCTGAACTCCGCGGGAGGCCCAGACCCTTGGGAGGCCCAAGCCACCTTACCTCCCCGGGACATCCGTTTGATCCTTCCAGCCGTCTTGTTACGGCCCCGGGGTCCGAGGAGGACCCCCGGATATGGCGGGCACCCCCGCTGGGGGCCCCATGCGGCTGCGGGAGACCCTTGGACTCCTGAGCCCCAGCCGTCGTGTAAGAGGTTCGAATTGCAGGGGTGGGGTTCACCTACAGTTGCCTATACTCGTGCATTCCGCCCTTTCGTGGGCCCCGCTTCGTGGACGACAAGAGGAGCGAACGACGGACGTCAGACGACGAAGGACAGTCGACGGACGTCGACTGACGATTGACAACTGACGGCGACGACGACGACGACGACGACGATGACGACGACGACGACGGACGACGACGACGACGATTGACGACGACGACGACGACGACGACGACGACGACGACGACAGACGACAGACGACAGACGACGGACGACGGTCGACGGACGACGGACGACGGGCGGCCACGGCGACGACCGACCGACTTGCTGACCGACCGGCCGCGCGATACCCCCACGAGAGGTGCCAGGCCGCGTGCCGCAGGCCGCCCCGCTCCCTTTGGAGCCGAAGCCGCCGCCGTAGCGCCCTGTGGTGCGCGCCGCACGGCGCTCCCTGGGGCCAGGCGCCGCACGTCCGGCCGGTCGGTAGGTCGGTCGTCGACGTGGCCGCCCGTCGTCGTCGCCGTTGCCGCCCGTCGTCGTCGTCGTCGTCGTCGCCCGTCGTCGTCGTCGTCGTCGTCGTCGTCCGTCGTCCGTCGTCCGTCGCCCGTCGCCCGTCGTCCGTCGTCGTCGTCCGTCGTCGTCGTCGTCGTCCGTCGTCCGTCGTCCGTCGCCGTCCGTCGTCCGTCGCCCGTCGCCCGTCGTCGTCGTCCGTCGTCGGCGGCGGCGGCGGCGGCGCACAGCGAGCCCTCGAGGCCCGGGCGCCGCAGGCTCGGGCCCCCTCGGCGCCCAGAGCTCCGATGGCGGATTGCCACAGCGGGGCGCTCCCAAGAGCTGAAGAGTCCGGAGGGGAAGAATAACACACAGACGCAATGAATCGCCGATTCCCCAGAAAATATTGGAAAATATGGGAAGTGGGGGGGAAGACAGAAACCCAGAGAAGATGGGAAAGTATCGGGGATCTGGTTCTTTGTGTGTATTTCTTTGTGTGTCCCAGGGCCCCTTCAACGACGGCGTAAGCAAACTGATGGCGCTCCGCGCAGATCTCTTGGCTCTGCGCCGGGGCCCCCTGGAGGCGCCTCCGGCGCCGCTCCGCGCGCCAGGGAGGGGGGTCCAGCCCAGATCCACCAGAAATCCGCGCGGAGCGCCGACAATTTAATGCTCATGCCGTATCGTTCTTCTTCTAGAGAGGGCCTCGCCTTCGAGGGTAGAAGGAATTGCCATCTCTTCCTCGGCGGAACGGCGGCGGTCGAGCGGCGGAAGGCGGCGGAAGTAGAAGAGGCGCCCCCAAGGGATGAACACGTTTTTGGGTTCAGGGTTTCCGTAATCCGCCACATGAGCGATGCCAGAAAGCAGGGTCGTTTGCGCCGACATTGGCGCGTAGGCTGCCTGCGTAAGGTCGCGCGTAAGCGCCCCCGTCTTCGATGAGGCGTGCCGCGCTGGCGGCCCGCGTAAGCCGCCGCGTGAGGTCGCTACGTCATCTCGCGTAAGTTGATCGTCGCTCACAGAGCGCTTCGCGAGAGGACTCTTTCGGATGCAACTCCTGGGAGGTCAAATTCTGATTTTGCCCTGGTCCG